TTCTGGATTTACGTTTCTCTAGAACAAAAAAAAAATCCTTGGAGGAAAATGGTCTACGCGAGCTATTACTCACTCCTTAACTCTTCTTCTTTTTCCTCATCATAATCTTCACGTATTTCCACTTCATCATTGTTACTCTGTAGAATAAGTAATGTAAAAGTGATGCAGCGTGATCATGGAAAACTATTCCAGCTAAAAGTATCAGTCCCACATGTTCGAAGATTTCTTTGGCGAAAGCAATCTGTTTCGAGATAATGCCCTCATGTTCATGAAGATCTGCGATATTCTTTTCCAAAACTGAAAATATCGACACTGTACATGTACGCTGGTGCTCTGCTATAAAAATGAAAAGAACTTTGATATGTCAACAAAAGTTGTGCTGTGCACTAGTGCATCCGTTTTCCGATCTTGTTATAATAATCTTATTATAATACAGGAACTATGTGAACGGAAACAGTCGAACCTGTTTTCCGTCTCTTCACAATTTCTGCAGCTTGATAAGCTGACGCGTCCACAAAATATCCATCTCCTAGACCAACGAGTATTTCGTTAGTGTGTACAATAGTAGCAGGAAGGAAGCCTACTGATCCAATGGGACACTGAAACCAGAAACCGATCTTATGTGCTGAGGAAGATTGTATAGATTATTCACATTTCAGAATTGCTGAATAGAAAACATCTAATCAATAAGGACAACGTCAATCAATATGTTGGGTTGCTACACAGAGTGCGTTGTTTGCTCGAATGCAATGAGTCGATCATTTCGTGAAGCTGTTTCAACCGTTTAATGCGAAAACACTACTTTCTCCGAATAACTTCAGAAATCAGAACATTGATTCAATATCGACACATGTACAAAAGACAAAGAACATGAACACACCATAATGGCTTCAGATCGTTTTCTAGGCATCTCTTCAAGGCGACGAATGAGGCTATCGTACTCGTCAAGTTTCTTTTGTTTGGTTTCTAAGATACCTTTCACTTGTTCTAGCGCCTGAAATATTATACATTACATGCCAACAATAGCTTCAAAGCGCAAGGATTCTTCAAATCACTATCAAGAGGACATATCCGCGCTCTGGGTACTCTGTCGCCTGGGTTAGAGACGCAGAGCAAGAAGCAACGAGCACCCCCCAACTACATTTTCACCTTGAATAATATTCGAGCTTTTACAAGTGTCCCGGGGAATAACGCAAAACAAAAGAAATTATGACAAAAACAGGTGCTACGTGCGTTGAGGGAAACCCCAATGGTAATTACCATTTTTTGAATCAGCCTTTCAGAGGGCAGTAGAGCCACAAACCAATAAGCGATAAGAAAAAGCACACTCTCCAACTTCCAAGTTATAAAGATTTTTTGAAAAACTCACCTTCTCGGCCGCATTCTTGTAGGTTTGCAAACGTTCTCTTGTCAATAACGTTGAAGACGAAGACATTTTGTAGATGAATTTTGATAAAGAACCGTATCCTTCACATCAGAATGAAAAAGCGTCGAACCACAACACGAAAATATTCGAAAAAAAACTCTGAAAGTATTTGTGTGCAATCACACAGACTACCACACAATCAACGGCGCGTCATAGAAATGGGAGAAATTATCAACTGGGTGCATTTTTTGGTATAAAAACCTCGAGTAATGAAGAAAATGAGGATGACAGGGGCTTGTGAAACAGGACATTCATTTCCACGGGAGATTACAAAGGGAGCGGAACGTTTGAGGGCTGATGTTTGCAAGGGCTAGTGGTCGTCGATATCATGTCAGACCCTGTAATTTCACCTAATTTGACGTGTTATCATCCCTAACACCATGAAATTACTTGTTAATTCTTGTCTAATCGTAATTAACCAACAATCCTTCTTGGGAAATGGTGGCTACAAAGTGGCTGGCTGGCTTCCATCCA